CTGGTAGAGACATTATTCGAATAACCTTGAAACCTTGGAATTATCAGAAACCAATAAAAAGAACAATATTGCAGTTCTTAACTTCTCAATATGAACCCGAGGATTCCTAGCTCCAAGCATAATACCGATGAAATTATTCCTTCAAACTCTTTGGAAGAAGAAAGTAAGTTGGGACCAATTAATAAGTATGGAATACCAGAAAACATGGAAAAATCTCATATGCGCATGGCCAATCCATGTGAAGGAAATACCACGTGTCGCGATGGATCCATCTCAACCCACAGAAATTCATGTTTTCTCAGATGCTTTCTCAGTGGTATATGCTGCTTCAGTATACGTTATTCAAGAAAATGAAGCTTCTTTGGTTTTCGCCAAATCACGAATTGTTCCCATCAAAGGATGACTATTCCAAGACTAGAATTATTAGCCGTGTTCATAGGAGTACGGGCTGCTCAATTTGTTATTAAACAAATGGAACTAGAGAACATTAAAGTCACATTAAGGTCAGATTCCAAATGTGTGTTACACTGGATACATAACCATTCTCGTTTATCGCCAAAATTCGTCCAAAATCGAGTCGAAGAGATATGACAGGCAAAGTTCTCATTTCGCTTTATTCCAAGTGAATTTAATCCAGTAGATATGGCTACCAGAGGACTATCGCCACTTTAACTTACAGAATTTGAACTATGGTGGAAAGACCAGGATGGTTAACAAAGGGAGAGTCAGATTGGCCATACTTAGAAATCAATATTGATGAAGATTACAATGAAAGTGAGAATGTGGAACAAAATCCGAAGATCGTCGTCGCGCATATTACTATTAACAAGGCCTTCAAATTCATCGATGCAATAAGATTCAGTAAATGGACTAGATTGATAAGAGCAACAGCATGGGCTTTGAAATTCTTAAATTTAATGTCCAGACAAAGAATTCCTTGGTTAAACATATTATCAGGGGAAAATCGACTCAATAGCGACGATTATGAACTAGCCATACACGTATTAATTAGATAAGCCCAATCGGAAGGAATAACGGAAGAAGAAATAATTAAATGGGATCTATACTATGGAAACGAAGTATGGAAATCAAAAAACCGCCTATAATATGGACAATTGGACAAACAAAGTTTGCATCTCATATAATCTTCTTAGACATAATCGTATAACCGGAATTTTTATTCAACAACAACACGTAGAAATGTTTTATGCTGGGACAGCTCATACGACGTCAAGTTTAAGAAAAAGGTTTTGGATACCCAAAGGAAGAACAGAAGTCAAAAGAGTTTTGGATAAATGTATGGGATGTAAATGATGGAAAGCAAAACCATTTAAACTACCAACCATACCTAATAATTATCCAGCAACTCGAGTAAGACGAGCACGAGCATTCGCACGAGTTGGATTGGATTATTTAGATTCCGTTTCTATCGAAACAGAAACAGGTGTTACAAAAAGATGGGTTGCCTTATTTGCATGTTTTACTACTAGAGCAGTGCATCTGGAATTAGCAGATAGTTTATCGGCAGAAAGTTTCTTAAATGTCTTTAGAGGATTTGTTGCACGACGTGGACAAGAAAATATTTGACATTCTGTAATTCAAGATATTTGCTATTACAAATCGATCATATCGATGTGCGATGTGTAAATAACACACAAACGGTGTCAATCTATAGCCAAACAATGAAACAATACCGAGTATACTCACTTTCCATACATTTCACTCTTTTTTTAAAATGTCGGATCACCAACATCACTTGATTTCTAATACATCGCAGTCGATGATATTATCACTTTAACGTACAGCTTCTCAAACATTTATTATTCTTATTTTACTGACCTGTATAATTTGGTAAGGTGGAGGAGCTGTAATTGCTGCATTCGTGGATGGTGACGGTATCGGTGGTGGTGGCATATTAGATGAAGCTCCAATTGAGTAATATTAAGAAAAATGCATAGAAAAATATGGTATTGTATTTTCAAAGAAAAAAAAATTTCATATGAATCCTGAAAGAAAAAAAAAATTGCCTTCTTGACGAGTTAATTTACCTCAAACTCCTTGCATTGTTTTATGCCCTATTTCCTTATGCTCCTCTCTCCAAATAGCTGAAATTATATCTCAAGTAATGTGGAAGTGATACCATGGAATATTATGCCATACCTTCCATCACTAAGCCATCTTTAACAATTTAATATGACTTCCACCTGTAGATCAGTTCATGAAACAAATATATCATTGAGTTCAAATTTGAGCATATGTAATGCTGCATGAATAAAATTAAAATTATACTGTTAGAATAATTTTATTGCCAAATTTGTATTAATGGACATTCTGACAACATTTCTGTTAGATTTCAAAAAAGAAGTAAATTTGATGTTGACTTTC